ACGAAGAGTTTAGATTTCTCTTTGAAGAAATATTGTGTGTATTGTATTTATTTATTTATTTATTCAGTTCTGATACGACTCAAAATGCATATGTTTTCATTTATTATCTGCTGAAAGAGGTATTTATTTTATACGTATAATGTTGATAATCGCTTTCAGGGCCGATTTTGCATATTACACTACCAAGTATTTTTTTAAAATAATCTTTGGTTAAATATAGTTTGGTTTGAATTAATTTGTTCGATTATGGCAAAGATCTCGAGAGATATTTGCTTAGGTAAAAGAAAAAATGACTTACAATGGAATGGCTTGTTAATTGGAACTTTATCTTGTGGAGTCATAAGAATTTTTGAAGTAGAAAACACGAAAAATGAACAATGCCCTCCCCGGGTCTCGAACCTGAACCTCTCGAATACGCGCCGAGTACTGTTACTTCACGAAGGCAAGCATAAAGGAGGGAGAAAATACCGTATAATCTATATATATCACATGAAAAACGTTTAATTCTATGTGTTTAATAAAAGGTATTAGGTAACAAAATTATCATAATTTAAATGCCTACCTTATTCATTTCATTGCTTGGAAAAAATAATGTATATATGGCCAAATATTTTGTTATTTTTCTTTTTGAAACATTTTGCATATTAATTAGGAAATAAAACCATTTTATACTTTATTACAGAGCTCGTTTTATCAGCCGACAGAAGAAAGGCATAAAATTTTAATGGTAGACAATGGTTTCCATTCAGATTTGGTAAGTTGCTTCTTTCAGAAAATATTCGTTCCGTGTGGTTGCTCTTTAATCATTGTGTTAAAACATGTATTATTTCTTAAAATATATAGTGTAATTATAAGTATGTTTTTTAATGTTTATGTCTCTTTATTACAGTATGCCGTACAAAGCCACATAAAACTTCGAGGTTATGATCCGAAAGAAAGCATAATTTTTTTAAAGCCAAGAAAGGTAAGAAATTAATTTAAAATTGTGAGAAGATTTAGTTTTTTTTTTTTTTTTTTTTTTTTTTTTTTTTTTTTTTTTTTTTTTAAATCTTTTTTATTTTCTGGGTGTTTCTGGAAGTCTAAACTATAAGGCAGATTTAATAGCGCTTTCGTTTCACTAAGTACACTTTCGTATTACTTAAAACTTTATTAGGTAAACTAACAAAATGCATAACTTTGGCATTTTCAGATGAAAAGGAAGTAAACGAGTTGCAAAGCTTCTCCAAACGTAAGTTTTCATATGCTAAAGACCAGTGGTTTTCAACCTTTTCTGCCCCAAGTACCCCTTTCACCATTACCAGACGATCATTCTCCCCCCTCCGTAATAGTATCAGGTAATTTAAAAAGTCCCGACGTATTACAGGGAAGCAATTCAATCTGGCGATTGACGAAGAACCCTTGGACAATGCGTGCCATGTGTGGTCGCGCATTATCCTGTTGAAATATGGCTGTGGGCAAGCCCTGAAGGAACAACTGGCTCAACCCTCGGAATGTAGCGCTGGCTGTTTAAAGTACCGGGCAATGCGTATTACAGTGCGAGAGTGATACAATACCGCCCCAACCATAATACCCTGTGCAGACCAATGTGGCGGTGCATAACGCAGCTGTTCAGCATCCTCTCCACGGTGTGTCCAGACTAGAATCCGACCACTGGTGTTACAGACAGAAGCGTGACGTCAGTAAAGACAACTTCATTCCATTCGCCGTCCACATCCTTTTTCATCGCACCATTGCGGGCGGAGACGTCTGTGGTTCTGCGGCAAGGATAGACAAGCAAGACGTCTCTGCTTGACAACCACTCTGCTGGTAAAAGGCGCGTTCGAATGCGCGCAGACCTGGTATGCGTTACAGACTGTATGTGCTGTGCTATGGTTCGTAATGTGCGGATCGCTCAGTCACAGTTTGTAATGTGACTGAGCGATCAGTCACTGCCATGCGCACATGTGCCTGTCATCACGTGAAGTTGTGCACTGAGGTGAATGCGATCACCGTCGGTCCGTCTAACCTCTCTGATCCAACGGTCACATATCCGCATTACAGTTGTTTGGTTTCGTCCAACACGAACCGATTCCTGATGAATCCCAAGCTCGTAGGCACTATCCTTCCTTGTCAACTCGATAATTGATAAATGATGATCGCTGTTTATAGAGCATAATTGATGTTTTTTGAAAAAAATCAAGAAAAACACATTACCGAATTTGAATCGTCGAAACTCCAAGCCCTTAAATAGCGCTTTGAGTGGCGCATGGCGCACTGATGGAGTCTGCGCAAATTATAATCATTTGCATATCACACATCCGTAATGCAGTCTAATTTCATGTTATTTGCATGCTCCTTCGGTGTTGCATTTACGGTGGCCAGCATTGTACTAATGTATATTTAAAATAATTATAACTAAATGAGGTATTAATAGGAGATGAAATCAATCTTAATGCACTATATAAATTATATATATTAAAATATAAAGAAAAACTAAGCAAAATGCATGCAATTTTAAAATATCCGCCAAAAATGTAAAGGCAGGGTAGATAGAAAATAAATAGTAGTTTTGTAATGAATGTTTTTGCGAGACTACACACTGCGATTGTATACTGTTTTGAGTGTTAGTACGAGGTGTGCTGGCATAAATTGTCCTTTTCTGTGCGTATTTCTAGCGATATGCATCGTTACAGAAACGCGGAGCTCACCAATATGCATATTATCTACGACAGTGGTTCTCACCTTTTTGCCTTCGTCACTTTTACTATGACCTTTGGCCGCACCTAAAATAAATTATTACCCTACTTTCACTTCGTTTTATATATTTTTTAAACAATAATTATAATATATTTTGCAAAAACAATATACGATAATGATTGATAATGATTTTCAATGAAATAGGAAATAAAACTGCATTACAAAGGAAAAAACATGTTTATTCATGCAGCAAAAAATGCAGACGACTTTTGAATTTCTATTTAGAACTTTTCACTTGAATCTTTCGAAAACCAGAGTTCATGATCCTCATAAATTCTCTCACATGGTCTCCACATATACACTCTATTCTTCAGAAGTTTCGGGTTCGTAAAGCTAAACTCAAACCCCTTAGTTCTGTCTATAGATAATAAGTTACTCATTTATAACTCCATTATGCGTCCCATGCTCTGTTGCGCCTGTCCAGTCTGGGCGTGTTAGTGTAAAACTCTACGTAAAAAATTGCAAACTGTCCAAAATGTTGTTCTGCGGCAAATTACAAACGCACCGTAGAAACAATGCAATTCAGACGGAACTAGGCATAATTCCACTGAGAAACTTTTACTACCACCTGGCCAGACTGTTTCACATTCGTTTACTTACTATAAGTAACTCTGAACTCAGAATTTATATTACGATTATAAGAACGATACTAATAAAAAAAAAAAAGCCAATGTCCATTCTCATCCAATGATCAGAAGTCGATTTTTATAATACTTTGTCAGTTTCGCATTTTTTATTTATGTATATTTAATCATTGCATTGCTTTATTGTTCACCACTTGAGACCTATGATTCAAATTACCTTGATAACTAGATTCATAATAGCTTAGGGCTTGATGTATCGTGCTGCTCATTCAAATTTAAATAAAAAATTACTATATCTCAAATAAATTATTTTCTAAAATATTTCGAAACTTTCAACTATGTTCGATTTGGGGTAAGGCGTCAGCCTAGGCACGCAGGTGTATCAAACACCGCTCCACAAGAAGGCAAAACCAGAGCTTAAATCTGGCACCTTAGACCGCTCGGCCATCCTGACTCATTTGAGTCTATAGCTATTTGGAATATGCCAAACACTAATACTCACTTATTGAGAATCTCCCCAATTGTTGTTAGGCCTAATAGTTTTTAGTAATCATTCGTCGTTTTTAGTAATCATTCGTACGACTTTTTTAAGTCGGTTTAGTTATAGTTTATTTTAGTAACTTGTATTACTAATTTCATTAGCTTCAAAAGCAAAGTAATTTTACGTTGTAGCTCCCTTCATATTTAATAAGGATTCTTAATTGCTTTTGCCTCTTGCAATTTACAGTATATTTATTCATTGACCTGCGTATTATTAGTCCAAAGAGGCTTTGTCCCTGAAGGACTATTGCTTTCGTTTTACGATTTTGCGTCGAATCACTGTAAATGGCGTATCCCTTTTCACATTGTTGCCACCAAATATTAGAGCGCTGTATTATATTTAAAGAATTTAAATAATGAAAAATCTGCATGTTTTTCGCACTGTGATAAATCACCCGTACCTAGAGCCATTCAGTTTTGAATAATATAATCGTCTACCCGAATATGTACCTCTGGAAGCCCAGATTTGAATTTTGGAATTTCTTTTATTATCTATTTCATATTTTGTAAAACGTAACAAATTTTTGATTAACAAACTCAAGGATTTAAAAGCGAGCACGGCAACACTAACGGTGAAAAAAAAAAAAAACCTTTTATTCCAGCGCGGATCGTATCGGAAATTCAAGATAAATTTCATTTAAATTATTTCGACATGCTCTTGAACTGATTTTAGTTGAGTGCAAAGAACATGATATTTAATAATAAAGGTAAGACAGAAACGTTAAAAAAACGCCCTTTGGCGTCTTGAAATCTGAAACCTTTTAGATTGTTATTTATTTATTTATTTTAATTTCAGTGAAACCTCATAAATCCGAAGGATTAAGTCATTATCGAAGAACCTGTAAAGCATTTGCTCTCTGTTTTGGAAGGTGTGCATTTACACGGGGCATTGTTGACATTAAAAAACATCGAGAAAGGCCACAGACGGTACAATGCAATCAATTAGAATATTTTTTACTGTTAACAAAAATATATAATAAATGGGAAATAAATTATAAATATGAGTATTGTATTAATGAGTTGCGCTAAAGTATAGTGATACTGAAATAAACACGCTAAACAATATGCCAAGGACTTTGAATTAAATTTAAAGTTTCACTTTTGCATGTATTCAAGTAGCGAAATGCCAATGGTAACTGAAATAGGCAAAGCACACTAGGTTATCTGTATATAGCAGTGTGCCCACCTGTTTTATGCTACGCCCCACTAATCCTCTCTAAATTTTTATGATTCCCTAACAATTTATATCAAAATTAACTGTTACAGAAAGCCTTGAATGATAGTTTAGGAAGAAATTTCTAAGTATTTAAATGTCTGTGTCTACAGTGTGTTCAGCGAAATTCTTATAAATATTAAATGCTCCAGTTTCAAAACTTATTAGTGATTTATTTGGGGAATAAACTAAAATTGAAAAATTTCGACTTCTTAAGAAAGGTTAGAAATTTGACCATTTTTTTGTCCCCTTAAACTCTGGATGAGTCCATTTTCAATTTGCCTCCCTTAACAATCAAATTGCCCCGCTGTGGGGCGTGGACCCCACTTTGGGAAACACTGGTCTATAGGGAGGGATCTTGTTGCTAGGTATTTTTTAGGAAAGCAAAATGGATTCAAATATTATTTTTAATTCTTCTGAAAGAACAGAACAAACTTTTTTGCCTGAAGAATTTCCTTCATAGGCTGCTGCAAGAAGGATTCAGATTCTTGTGCTTCTCGCTTGACTATTATTAAAATATGAAATTTTTGAATTTTTACAACAGTATAATCATCATCGTATGTAGTATCATTAACTTACTAACTTCACCTCTTCAAATTTAATAAAATCAAACCACGATAATACCTAACCTTTCGGATTAATTAAAATGTGGCGTAACTTCTAAAGCAAAATTTTAAATAAAAAAGTATCTAATCTAAAAAATGAAAGATTTTATTGGCAAGCAGAAGGATTAATAACTGAGTCTTTGAAACTTTTTTATGCCGTATTTCACAATAAACACTACATTCTGAGAACATTAGTCATTTATCCAGACTCAAACATACTGCTATTTTAAAAGAATTTTAACTTTCACGCGACCTAGTTAATAGCTAGTTTCTAAAGTGTTGCTATTTTGTGCGACATAAAGTCTTTAATTTATATTCCAAATTACGTCTATAATTACTTACTGGAATTCATTGGAAACTGTTAAATATCCTCTAAATCATGAATGAATTATGCTCACTTAAAGCATTACTGCATTTTTTTAGGGCTGTGTTGTCGGTTTTGATCTCGCACATGCAGTCGGAAATGTCAAACTCCAGCTTCACGAATGGGAAGTAGACTTTGCTTTATGGTGCACATATAAGGTAATAAAGTATATGTTATAAATACGATTTATGTTATGTGCATGAATAGCGAAAATATAAGATTTTAAACCTATTATATTAAATTCTTGATTAAAAATGCATTCGGATTTCTAAAATGAGCTTTAAGCATTGTTTTGTAATATTATTTTGTAATTGACACAAAATGTAAAATGTACGTTTAGCTTCATGCCAAAAACATGAAACTGCATTTTTGCAGCTTTTACTCAAATCCTCCCCCCCCCCGCTAAGCTAAAAGAAGATGTGTATTCTATGATATTAATTTAAAAAAAAATTACTCTGTAGAATTCCTACTTTGATTTTTCTTAAACTTTTCCTTAAAAAACCTGCCAAATTTTTAAATTCATTTCTCTTGAAAGGAAGATTCTGCAGATTCGTGGTTTAGGCATAGTCCATTGACAAGTTAATCATTAACTAACTAAAACAAATTCAAAATGAAAAATATGATTAATTTAATCATTACCGAATTCTCTTTGTCATTACTTTTGTTTCTTCTTTTTTCTTAATTTCGTTTGAAGTATTAATAGACTTTATATCGTCATGCAATTTAAAGTAACTTTATAATGTTAATATGTTATTATGTATCTTAAAGAACTACGTATCTTAGAACTTCTTTAAATTTTCTTTGTTAATATGTATCATAAAAGAACTTTAATTTTATAGCCCTTCATATTTCCTATTTTAGCAGATAACCAATTTTTAAATTGCTAACTCAGTTTTTTTTTTTTTTTAATATTGTTTCTATACCATAGCAGTAAATTTTCTTTTATAATTTAACACTATTTCATAACGTTTAACACATTGACTAGTAGTAATGTAATTAATACGGTTCTCAATACATATACATTACCATACTGTGAAAATCACTAGTATTCCTAAATGACTAGATAGGTAGTAACATCTGTTGCACAATGTTCACAGAAGAAAAGATGGCTACCAGATAGAGTCTTTGTAGAGCAATCAAGTACAATATTTTTTACACTTTAATTAATTAAAAAATGCAAAATTCACCGAAATCTGTGTAATTAATATTTTCATGAGACCAAATACAAACTTAATAACAATGTTGTTGTATATATCGAATTCTAATTATTCAAAAGAGTAACTTTTATCCTGTAATTCCTCCTTAAAATTTGACCGAATGAGCTTGAATTTCCTACGGTCTCAGGCACTGATATTTCATCTAAGTGAATAAATTCGTTCTCCAATCAAAATCGTAAAAACAACCTTGTATTTAGCGTAAGTATAATGAAACAATCGATTTCGAGGGCAGCTAAAGGTTCCTCCTCATCAGGAGAAAGAAATACCTAGAAAGAAGAAAATAAAGGAGAAGGAGTCTCAGAAACACGTGGTCCTTATCAGCACTGCACGTGGTTATAACTGGTTTTTTTAATCAGAGTTGCACTGGCCGCCTACTTCTACTAAGCCAGGCTATCTGATCAAGCACAAAGGACAAGAAAAATTTGAGACGTTAAAATAGGGAGCGAGGGGCAAATGCACCTATACCAGAGTTGCCAACTCTCCCGATTTAGGCGGGAGACTCCCGATTTTCGACCGCTCTCCCGCCAACCCGATTTACAATATATCTCTCGACTTTTTTCTTATTCTTAAAATTTCTCACGATTTTATGGAACTTGGTTAATACTTTCTTATATAAACAAAAAAAAAAAAAAAAAAAAGATTTTGGACGTCGAAAGCAATTGAATTTTCTCTAATTATATTTAAACAAAACCTGCGAATCAGATAACTTCTGCTTTGTGAGTGAGAGAATATACGTATCAGAAACATCGTTCTCCAATGGGTCTCGCGCTCCTACTGCGTGTCATCTGGCACATATTAGCCAATGAGGAAAGCAAGCTGTTATTTGGATGTTCTTTCGTTATTTCGTTCATTTGTTGAGTTGTGTGAGTACACTGCTTTCGAGAAATAGTTTAGAATATCATCTTTTGCTATGTCTGCGAGAAAGGTGAAATACTCATGTACGTTTCAAAAATCGTACACATTGACTTCCTTCCATTATTCCTCAAGGAAAATGTAATAAATTTGCGATGTGTACGCCCTATCGTACGATTTTTCCATTTTCGCATGGTGGCAAGGGCGGATGTTCTCAAACCTGTGCGTCACAAACACACGGACAACAATGAGTTTTTGAAAAAAAAAAAAAACCCAAAAAAAAAAACCACAAACGGAATTAATTTTTCTCGAAAACAGCGGCCCAAAAAGTTATTAAATGCAGAACGTCTGTTCTGCCTTTTTACTGAGCCACCTGCCACGGAGCCTAGGCTCACGCTGCAGCTGGATTTGAAAATGTTCCCGATAGTGAAATCGCTCGAAATACTCCGTGTAGACCAACCCGGTTGCAATTGTTAAAGAAAGGGCTTGAAAAATAATCTTCATTATTGTTGCATTAAAAAATAACTTGTTCTCCTCTATACGGATGGAAGCAATAATCCGATTCAAAACTGTATCCAATGTGTTTTTTTTTACTCTAGAGTCTTCAGAAATGAGTGCAGTTATGTTCTGTCCCCACTTTAGAAGGACATTTGACAAGTTTAATTGCACAGCTATTATTAAACTTGATATGCCCAGTATTGGTAGGCTTAAAGACTGGGGTTGCCGGCATCTTAAGAAAGGCACCTTCAGATTTGCGATATGAGGTGCCCTTCACCTCTTAGATTTAGCAGCTGAAAAAGGGGTTCTTTACCAATAAATGTGGATGAACGCATGTATTTATTATTATCTTGAAAGGAGTTCTAAAAGGAAGGAAAATTGAAAACAGTTCCAAAGCAGCATAACAGCAGTTTATAATTAGAAAACTCGGATGAAGTTATAAATCCGTAGGTTGACACCCAGTGGGTTTAATTCGAAAACTGAAAGGTGCTGACGGAATTTATAATATAGTTGAACTGTCTAGAATAATGTGGCATCTTGACAGTTTCCCATAGTAATGCGGAGTTGAGAGGATTTCAGGTTGTTGCGAAAACGAGGCTAAATTAGATCTAATATTACGATGACAATTAGAAAAACTTTTATTAGCAAAAGCAGGCCTACATGGCAATTGCTATGAACAAAATATGAAGTTTCTTTCTAAAGAAAGCAAATCTGCCATGTTTAGAACATTTGTACGGAAACGATTAAAGTATCTTTTTTTTTTTCTTAAACGATGCAAGTAATAAAAAGTTTTATGTGTAAGGTATTTTTTATGTTGCTTGCATTAAGAATTACTACTATTTAAAGTTAATTCATTATTAAAAACTATATTTTTGTCATTTAAAAAGTCTTTTTAACATTGAGAAAAATCTCCTGATTTCTTAAAAAATTCTCCTGATTTTTTAGTGTCAAAGGTTGGCAAGTATGCTATACGCTCAAAATCTGAACTTCAAATAATGCAAAGCAACCACTGAACGGATTTTTATACCTTCTGGTAGTACCAAACGCGAGGAAGTAACGCCATCTATCGGCAAAAATAACTGAATTAAGATAGTAGAATTTTAAAGGCATTAGGAAGGACTGGATTGGACTTCAAGTCATTAACTAAACCTGCTAAATCTTTGTGAATGTGAAAAGCCTCAAGAAAATTCAATTCACCTATGGAAGAAGCCTTTTGGATAATTTTTGCAGACCCAAAGTCAAAATTATGGTTAAATGTCCAACTATGATACGCTATTGAAGACTTGTTAATTTCGCCTTTTCTGACATAAGATTCATGTTCCTTGATACGAAACTTCAACGCTCTTTTTGTTTGGCCAATATATCTTAAACCACAATCACACGATATACTATAAATTCCCCAAGAATTCAAGACAGAAACGCAATCTTTTAGAATCGAAGGGTGAATTTTACTAATAGGGGAGAAAACGACTTGAAAATTTAATTTCTGGAGAATCCGTGCAATTTTTTATAGCTAACAGAAGGATAAAATGGAAGCACGACAAGGTCATTAATATTATTTCTAACAGTGGAATGTCTTTCTTGATGGGAATCTGAAAATTTTTTAACGGCTTTATCAATAATTACGGGAGAAAATCCACGGTCAACCGCAACTGCTCTCAAATAATTAAGTTCATTGGTAAGCAAAGATTCAGAGGAACAAAATTTAAGCGCACGGAATACATAATAGTAAAAAGAAGCCATTTTTTGCTTAACAGGGTGGCATGACTTGGCATGGGGTGGTAAACAAACTGCAAAGGGTTTACGGTATACAGTGGTGCTAAAATTAGTTTCATTGCGGATTATAAGAATATCAAGGAAGGGGAGGGAATTGTTGGATTCAATTTCAAGAGTGAATTGGATGGCTGGATCAATCGAATTCATAATAGATAGAATCTCGGATAAATCCTCTTTATAACCGTCAAAACGAGCGAAAGTGTCGTCAACATACCGAATCCAAAGACGAAAAGATAGTTTATCAAATAATTTCATCTCAAAATAGTGCATATAAATGTCAGCAAGTACCGGACTGAGAGGATTACCCATAGCCAATCCTTCAACTTGACGAAAATATGCATTTTGGAAAACAAAGTGGGTTTGACTGAGAGAAACTTTAGTAAGCGAAACCAACTCATTAATTTCAGTATGTGTGAAGTGAAATTCCCGAAGCCTAGTTTCAAGACAATTTAGTGCTCCTTCGACCGGAACAATAGTAAACGGTGATTTGACATCAAATGAAACCATAATGGAACGAAGTGGAGAAATATTTTTAAGTTTATCAATGACTTCAACAGAATGTTTTACAGTGTGAATATTGTTAGCAAGTAGAGGAGAAAAAGGAGGGACCTTTAGCTGCCCTCGAAATCGATTGAGTGTTTCATTATACTTACGCTAAATACAAGGTTGTTTTTACGATTTTGATTGTCACATTAGCGTGTTTCTCTTCTAGTCTCGTTCTCCAATATTTTCATTCATTTTGATCGCTAAAGTTGTGAGAAATTATCGCACTTTTCTGCGGGTGTGTGTGTGTGTGTTCTTCAGGTTTAACTCTTTCGTATTGATAAAGGCCAAATCTGTTTCTCTCAATTATCTAAAACGCCCGTACATAAGTATTTCCGTTAGAATGGATTTCCTCACCCCTGCAAATTAGAATGCTACAGCGTTAACAATAACCTACTTAAATAAAGTGATTACTTTTCTCTTGGGGATCTCTGTGCTGTTTCACCCAATGTTTGTGGTTTTCCCTTAGTACAAGATTGCAAGTTTTGAACATCAATAGTTAAATTTTGACGCTAAACGAAGGAGAGAGAAAAGGTGCATTGAAATAAGAAAGCTACTTTAGTCAATTCAAAAGAATGATTGGTATCTCATTTAATAACTCCTCAAACCACTGAGCCATGCACTAACGTGATGCGAGAAAGTATCCGGTAGAAAATGGACGCAGGCTTTCGGGCGACCTGCCGATGTCCGGACGTATCGGGCGAATTCGCTGTGAAAGAGTTAAGTGATTAATTAGTACATCCGAGTAGAAAACTGGAAGATCCATGAATCTCAGCAATGGCACAGACAAGTTTATTTCACATGTTTCCCGTCTCCGAAAAGCCTAATAGTCTCCATAAAATATGTTTTATTGATTGGATTTTTAGATTATAAAATCCATATAAAAAGTTACATATATTTGAAGAACATTTTCATCCACATTGTTGAAACTATTTTCAAAGTATTCTCTGGCTTATTTGGAGTAATCTTTAATTTAAAATACATGTCTAGTATCAATACTTCAACAAATAAAGTCAATATTATTTTTTAAACAATGTGTATAGCACGTGCGGCTTGTGAATAAAAGTTTAAATTTACTATGTAGTGCAATACCTGAAGATTCCCACAGATATTTTAATTTAATTTAAATTGTAATTTCATGTTATTATGTGTATGTATGCAAATTGATTTATAACCGAGCACAAGAACAGATCAGATAAAGCAAACACTTACAAACGATAATCATAGTGAGAAATGGCTTCTCAGATAAAAAAATTACAACAAACTGCAGACATGATGCATAATGTTTTTGCTCAGTAAGATTCCTAGTAATATTCGTAATTTACAAAAGTCTAATCCCAATTTAACAATAGTTTTTAATTTAATACAGCAGTTTCAGTAATATAATTCTAAAGCATATAAAACAGTAATATAATTCTAAAGATATATAAGTCAAGTTATCTTTTGTATATCGATAGATTATCCCCACTTAACGATGATCTTTTATTAAAATTAACATTTCTAAAGCTATAGTCGGCTCGCAGATCATTCTAAAGCAGGTAATATATTTTTCCAGTTCCGTTATTTTTTAAGAAAAACATAATTTAAGTTGAAATTTAAAATTCTTATTGAAGAAATTGATGATAAACAGGAAATAAATGAGGACACATTCAATTCCAGAAGCAGATATGAAATCGCTTGTTCTGGAATTCAATGATGAAAGCAAATGAAGCTCTACAATGTGTTTAAAAACATACTTAAATGATGTTTATAATGCGTCCGCTGTTGTTGGTAAAAGAATAACCAATATTTTCTTTAGAATGTGAAGCTAAAAATCCAGCTAGGTAATTGATAATTACAAACAATTAAAAATAGTTGAAGTAATTTAATTAAAAAGTGTTTTTGTTTAACGATTATCTCGATTTAACGATTAATTTTCATTAGTTCTTTTACAGTATCTAAATCGGAATTTAGCTACAATTAAGTACACGTTTTTTAGCTATTATGAGTATGGCTGCTTTTGATGAAAAAAAATGCCGTTTTTTGCATTTGTAGACATGTTTATGATAAATAGATCAATTACCTAAAATTTTTACAATGGTAGTCGTACATTCACTTTCGTTCTATATGGTAGTGTGTTAAATAATCGATATGTTTTCATATTTTACTTTGATTAACTAATTTTATTGACAATGCAATCTCTTTTGTGCAGTATTTGAATTCTGGTGCAGGAAGTATGGGTTGCATATACGTGCATGAACGTCACACAAATGGCTACAATGAAATTATACCGATGATGCAAGGTTGGTGGGGAGTTAGTAATGCAGAAAAATTTTCGCTTCAAAGAGGTGAGTAGCTAAACGAATTTAATTCATATTAATGAAAGCTTGAGTAGTGCATGTTTCAAGATTTGTGCAATGTTTAGTTGTAGAGAAAAAGAATACGGTAAAACTTATTTCATATTTTCTATGTGGTAAATGTATTATCAAAGAAAAATTATTTTTGAGCTAATTCAGTTGTCTTCATTTAAATTAATTATTGCCTGCAGACTGAATGAAAAGTAAAATCACATATGTTCAAAAGTTCCTTTTTAACTCTTTGCATCATTGTTTTATAAGATGCTCTAATTCAAAAACAAAAACAAAAAATAGGTTCGAATGAGTGTTAAAAAAATACACGTTGCATGTTCGCTTTTGCGAAAGAATGGAATGCAAAGTTAAAAGAGTTTATATTCCATATAATATGTAAGAAGAAATTCTAAAAATCTGTATCTACCTTTCTCTCTTTTTCCTTTCTCTTTATTTAAAGAATGGAAATAAATTCTTATAGAAAGGTTTATGAGCTTAATTCATTTTAAGAGATTAAGAACTTATTATACTAGTTTACGAGCTTAAGAGATTCAAAAATAAATAAATAACAAAATTAAAAATATATTTTTAATAGCACAAATATTTTTTTAAATACACTATTTTATTAAACCAATTCGGTAGCAAATGTACATTTCTTTTTAATATAAAATTAATTTCTATAGTAGAATTTTCAATTTCGAAATTTTAAATTAAATGCAAGAAAAATTTGAAAATTTAATACATTCGTTCCCGTAAAGGGGAAATGAAATCTTTCCAGTTTAAATTAATTTTGGTACTTGAAATTCGCTGAGCAAAATCCTTTCTGAAACCATCACCAATTTATTGGTTTTTGTACACCCAAAATTAAAACAGACCACTGAGATAAATCTTTTTGAACTTTTAACGGATTTTCGTTTTGGTATATATTTAAGTAACAAATAAAAAGATGTAAAATATATAATTCAAACAATCCAGATAATGCAACTTCCATTTTAAGCTTTAACTGCGCCGTTTCTATTATTTCACTCAGCTAATAAAAATTTTAAAAAATTTAAATAAAACATCATTCAGATTTACAAGTATGCCTTTCAGATAACAAATCTTAAATGTGTCTACTTCAGTATTTTCTTCCTTTAGTCAAGTGCACTGTTAATTTCGTGTGCAAACCAAATTCTTAATGCTTAATTAAACAAAATGCTTAATTATTATACAGTTGATACTTAAATTATGTCCAAAATCTCAAAATGTGAAAAAGATTTTACGCTTTGAAATTAATATTTGTTAAATTTACATTTTCAAATGACAAAACTAAGAAATTTAAACAATAAATTCTAGAACTTAAGAAGTAGTAAAACTGCAATGAAACAGATGAAAGTTAATAATTGTTTATTATGTCTCATGACTATGGAAATGTTTTCCCAGTTTTAAAAAATTCATCAAACAGTAAGGAAGGATAAAAAATTAATAATGAAACTATTTTTAGTCATAGTATATTTTTAATCACAGGTAATAAATATCATTTCTTAACATACTATTCAATTTTTATAAAGCAAAACTTAAAAACATTATAAATAGTATTTTTTAGGAAATTTTATGCCGAAGGTTGGCTTTTTTCCACAAATTGATAAATGCTATTAAAAAATATATCGATAATTTAAAACTAAACTATTTTATATATTGGATGAAACATATTTTATTATATTTCTCCCAGTATAAAAAAAAATCTCATCATTAAAAAACCTGCAATTCCTTACAGAATTTATACCAGCGGACGGAGCGGATAGGTTCAAAATAAGCAATCCATCTCCATTTCTAAGTGCTATGGTCTTAGTGAATTTAGAGGTAAGACTGCACTCATATATGAAACAATTTAGATATATTTCAAGACATTAATTATTTTGTAATTACAGGCCAAATCTTCTTTTCAATGAAAAAAAATTATTATTTGTATTAAAAAATATTTTTGTGCTAATAATAAAAAAAATCATCATCAAATTTATTCCTCTATTTAAATGCATTCCAGATAATCAATATAAAAAATCACTTTCGCAAAATAGTTAAAAACTAGATTGTTTGTTTTGTATAAGAAATATGTTTAATTATTATACTTTTTTTAAGCCCAAAGGGTTCACTTATAAATGGCATTATACTTAAAAAAAATAAATAATCAAGCATCTGCATGAATATATGCATGTTTCTCGCCCTGTGAAAAAACAATGGTACTTAGAGACATCAAATTTTGAATAACGTAGTCCTTCACTTGAATATGGGCATCTGGAAGCCCAAATTTGGAATTTGTTGTATAATCTATTTCGCATTTTGTAAAACTTAAACGAATTTTTTATTACCAAACTCAACGATTTCAAAGCGAGCAGGGGCAACACTGTACGAATAAAAGGAACATTTTTACCTCTAACGCGCGAGACTTTGCATCCGAGATTTCAAAGATACGGTTTTTTTTTTTTTTTTTTTTTTTTTTTTTTTTTTCCAAATTGCTTTGTGATATCGCTGTTGAATTGAATTTTACGGTTTATATTAATAAATAACATATTTAATAAATAAAGGTAACACAGAAAACGTTAAAAAACCGTTCCTTTGGGCATAATATAAAATCGGAAAGCTTTCAGATTTTTTTTTTTTAATTTTAATGTGCTGCTTGATATATCCGAAACACAGGTTTCTTATTTTATGAAAAGAACAGAGATGTACAGACACTTAAAGAAAAAAAAAAAAAAAAAAAGACAGTTAGTTCTACATCTCCCGTTTAAATTGGCCGATTGACGAAATTTAGCTTGCGATTTTCATATCGCTAAAGTGCGACTTAGGATATGTGTCAGATTATATATAGCACTGCTCTAACATAAGTACTTTGACACAAAATCGGACAAATTTCGTATTACAATGACAGGACAGGTATTTTCCATATTTCGACTCTACACCTCAAATCATGCCAAAGTCATTTTTAAAACATTAGGTCTCCAAATTTTAGCTCCTCTAATGTTAATTTAATTTGGTATACATTTATAAATATCTCTTTTTTTATTAAACTTCTTTGATTTCTTCGAAATTCAATCCATATAAAATTCAAACAGTTTTCAAATTTTTAAAATTCGTAATTTTTATTTTTTGAAAAAGATTTGAATCATAATCTTCAAAATGTATACTATTATCTTAAAGTAGATATATTTCTAGGCATACAAGCAAAAAAATTACAGTATTTGTGGAATTTTCAGTATTATTTTTCTGGGGGGGGAGGGTCCTTTAGTTTCGGCTCAATGAAACTTGACTATATTTGAATTAATTCCTTTCTTTTTTCATAAAAGCAAAAACCTTATACGTGATACATATATCTTATAACGTATAGTTTCAAATCAAAATTTTGCAAATAAACTAAGCTTTAAGAGTTTGATAGTTTGGATCATGTTCAGCTTTTAGTTAAAATATATGAAACATACATTTTTACATTAACCCCCTTAGGAAGAATGTTTTAAATAGCTAGATTTCCCTTCTACTATTACAGATAATGTAAAAATATGCTCTTTAATATGAAAATTGGTCTTAAAAATTGTCAAAACAATACGATTTAGATTATTTGCACCTCATATCAAGATCGAGTCACTCGGTGGGATAGAATAAACGTTGCCTTCTGCTAACCAGAAAAGTTTGAAAGATGCTTTATTTCTTTGTCATTTGGTAAAAGGGTTTTAACTAAAATATTTGTCTTTTGCTTTAAACTTTATTTACAAGTAAAATGTCTATAAAACGAAATGGAGTCTGCCTAAAGATGCAACTGGAATTTTAAAAGAATTTGACAAGAATATAAAATTTATGGAAATGTAAATGTCGAAAAATTATAGTATTTTTGTGTCAACACTGAAAACAAATGTAGAAACAAATTTAGAAGGAAAAAATGCATTTCAAAGAAGCTGCGTTGTTCACGGCGAAATACCTGGAAGTTTACGCAATATTTTGCTAAGGTTGTTTGCATATTGCAGTGCATCAAATATACCAGCAAAATATACCTGTGCTAACGGAAAAGACAAGAAATATCTTCGCAGGTGAAAGTGAAGAGAAACTATTTTTCGACTGAATGGTTGAATAAATTTAAATTACATCGTATCATAAACGCAGAATCCCAAGATGTCTCAGTCGAATTAGTTGAAGATTCAAGAATTTATCCAAGAACGTACATGGATATCATCTAACGAAATTTGATCTATTGATGAGGCCAGTCTTTCCTTTCATCTCAGGCCTTCAAAATGAATAGCCTCTAAAGACATTCAGGGTACATAGCGAACGAATACAATGGATGATTTTAAAATCATTTTCAGAATATCTGAAGAAAAACGACAAAGCATTAGGAAGAAAAAAAAAAAAAACTTTTTTGCATAAAATTTATATTTTTTAAATTTAAATTTAAGAAATTTTTTAAATGTTATTTATTTCGCGATTTTAAAAATAAAGTATTTGACTAAAATGCGAATAATATTTTACGAAACTAAAACCAGGATGATAAAACTGTGTAAAGCAATATATGCAGTTCATCCTAAATTAAAATACCAGTTATAAATATTTTTCATTTCGCATGTCTTTTCTGAACGGTCCCCTGAAAGAAGTATTAACTGTGCTTCATTGTTAAATTCTCAAGAACTAATATTAAAAAGTATATTTAAAATGCACAGTTCAAATAAATAAATATACAATTTTAAAATAAGTTTTTGAAGAAATATACTTAAACCAACTTTATTCTTAATTCGAAATAAATAAATATAAAATTTTAAAATAATTATTTGAAGATATAATTAAACCATGCAACTTAAACAATTAAAATGAAATTCTGAAAAGGAAAAAAAAATCTAAAAATAAAAGCTATAATTAAGAAATACAATTTTACCGTTTTTTCGCTCATGAAAAAATGAAAGGGAATGTGAAATGAATCGAAATATGGTAAACATTTGGCATGTCATTTCAGAAACAGTTCTATTTTTGTGTCAAAGCATATATGTCAGAACAACACTATATAAAAATTTAGTATATATTCTAAGTCACGCTTTCGAGACATGAAAAATGCAAGTTGAATTTCGTCAATCAGCCCAGTAAAAGGAGAGCTACTAAACTGCCCCCCCCCTTTTTTTTAAGTAGCTGTACAACTTTTTAATTAATGCTATTACACAATTCAAATTTTTATAGGTGTTCAGAGAAGCAGGAATTGAGAGACTTCAAGAAAAACAAAAGCTCCTGACAGGGTATTTGGAATACCTACTAAAGAAGCATTTCCCGCCATCGAATGGCATTGAAAGTGGGAAGCCACACATTCAAGTTATCACTCCCAGTAACCCAAAGCGCCGAGGCTGCCAAATTAGTATCATGTCATCTCGTCCAATAACTGAAATAGATGAACGTTTGAAGGCGAAGGGAATTGTCGTAAGTAAAATTAAAGAAATATGTAAAAATAAAAAAACTGCTATTAACACAAATATACAAAGCTCTATCTAATGCTTATATTTGTTTTTTAGTGTGATATGCGAAAACCTTCAGTCCTGAGAGTGACCCCAGCTCCTTTATATAACTCATTCACTGAAGTTTACAAATTTGTTCATATCTTGGAAGAAGTAGTAGATGAAATATCGTGGCAGAATGGTAAGTTAAAAAATATTGAATTTAAAAGCATAATTGGATTATTTCCTAAATTAATGTAGTATACTGTTTGGCACAGTTTTGTGAAACTCTTCTAAAATTATCGCCAAGGAAAAGAATATTCCCATTCGGGATAAATCTATTTCGCTTAAGAGGACAGTAGACTTTGACATAGATAAAAACTGATCAAAATTACGCATTTTTTGCCCCTTGTGTTTATAATATTCAGCATATCTAACCGCATTACATAACCTCATTCAAATACTTTTAATTCTTAAACAGAAGGTATAAACATATAAAATGTGTAAACAACACAACCATTGCCCTTTAAATTTCAGAAAAAATGTGAACAAATATATATCAACAGATATCTCTAGAAGTTATAATTTAGAAGCAGTCATCTTGTGACCATCAGAATGTGGCTCAGAGGTCGAGTTTGATATTTCTATCTTTTTAATATTTCTTCGCTGGTTTAAATTCACTCCATTGTCCTCAATAGAATTTTTATCTATCTCATTTGCGTTTGATACTTTATCCGTTTTTATTTTGTGCTTGGGGGCATTTTTGCCCAAAACTTAGTGGTATATGTAGATTCATTTTGTTCATTCAAGTAGTAGTAGCAAATTGTAATTGTTGCAGTAGTTGTAGCAATTCAAGCAGATTCATCATTCATTCAAGTTGCTTTTATGCAACATAATTAATAATAGTTGGTAATCAATATTTTTCTATTTGCATGACATTCATCAGGTTTTAATGTATAGTTGAGTAGAAATAAGATATACTATTTTTAGCCTAAAAGTCTCGAAATGTGATTTTTTTGTTGTTTTACTTTAATGCCTAGTTTCAATTTTCATTCAAGTTTGTTGCTATTTAGCCAATGTACACCAGTTATCTTTCAAATTTAAACTGTCTACTATTAATGAACAAACTAAGCTATTTAAAGCAACAGATACAGTTCTTAAATATATTATTTTTTTTTTACTTTTGAACTTGATTCAGTTAAATAAAAATGCATTTAATTAATAAAAAAGACAATTAAAAACAAATATTTTTACAAAATTAAGTTATACATTTTTCACTTTTCAAATATACAGAATATACATAATGTTTCCATATTAGTGTAAATGTGTTTCCTTTAGTATCATCCTATACAATATTTTGTTATCCCAACTGGGCCATTTCTATTGATTGCCAGATTGGTAAACCATATTAAACTTTAACAGAGCTCTTTCAGGTAAACAATAAAATTTGAACCTTTTCAGTTTTTTTATGAGTTTTAAACAAAAGCTTACTAAAAAAAAAAAATTCTTCTTCAGAGGTACAATTAGTCTTGAAACTCATTTTATGTGTCCGAATCACTTTTAAAATTATTACCACCAAATGTTATTGCAATGCATTATTTTTTTTACAAATATTAAGAGATATAATGCACATGATGATTTCATTTATTAAACAAAGTAATTTTTATAATTTATTATACAATTTGTTTATAAAATTTATCAAAAAGAACATTTCCACCATTACTGTTAGTTAATAAAAAAATGCTTTCAATGCCATATATAATTAACCTCAGTGTACTTTTAATATTAATAGAATTAAGAATTTTATTTATAGCAATTTTAGTTAATAACTGAATTAACTACTTTCATTCACAGCAAATTTAAGTATATACATTTAATCTAATGGAGATACTCAATGATCAGAACAAACCAAACATTTCATTCTACATTCAAATCAAACATATTCCCTTTAAAATTTAACTGTTCATTTTAAATACTAAGTAGTATGTATATGTGTGTATATATATATATATATATATATATATATATATATGGACTTTAAAATATTGAAGATGTTTACATATTAAAATTAATTTTACAATTAAGATAAAAAAAATGATTCAATTCAACATACAATAAAAAAGATTGAAATATTAATAAAACTCACTTTTCTTTTGCCTTAATTTCATATGGAGTTAAGATGACAATAAAAACATTGTATACATTATCATATACTCAGCCATATTCGTTACTACAAAAATTTTACTTTGATTGTTTGTTTCATTCACAGGACAACAGAATTGAAAGAATTAAGAAGGAAAAAGGAATAACACATATACTAGAACTTGAAAGGTTTATGAAGAAAAATTGCTCTAAGCGATGGAATCTTTCTAATGGTTTTCTGGTTTTCATTTGTTCACTTTAGATGTTAACGGTGGTTTGGGATTTCTTTTGTGTTTTATTTATTCAAATTAATGTGTGTGTGTATGTATGTGTGTGGAGTGGGTTTGTATATATAGAGAGAGACACAAAGAGAGAGCATAATAAGATGCTAGAGAAAATATTATACATAATAAAAGTTTGTTTCAAAAGATAATGTGTATATATTTAAGTATTTTTACACAGTATTTTAGAAAAGTTTCAGGAATGAATGAAATATATATTTATACAACACTTACAACTATTTCTTAGGGTCACCTATAAATAATAATTCTTGGAAAATAATACTAATTAGAAAGTGTGTATCCTTTCCCTGCAGAATGGCTTCTGGCTTCCCTACATGGCAATGACTTATGTAGTCCTCTACTGAAATGCTGCTCAAGATCTTCATCACATTCTCCTGGATTGCATCAACATCTTCAAAAAATCAGTTTTTAAGGCCTGTTTTATTCAACAAAAAAGCAAAATATCATTAAGGAAAAGACTAGGGAAATTAAATACTCTTTCATGATGGTGGCTGTATGATAAGGACTATTGTTTTGAAACAAGTATATTGCAGTCTCATAAATCTGTTTTCACACTTCAAATTCATAGTGCTAACCTCTATATTGTTTTCAAGTAAAAGGTTTTATTAACAATTTGTCTAATAGACATTAATTAGTTCTTTATGACTAATGCCTTTTAAGATAGGCAATGATTAACATGCACTTAATCTAGGATGGATTCATTTGTGCTTTCTCTCTTCATAGGGTAGGAAGATGTTTGCCATCTGGCACTCTGTTTCAGGAACATGGTGATGGCACAAATTGGCCATCTTTGGCCATTGCAAAGTGACCAAAAAAAGTGACATTATGTGCCTTTTCTAATACACTCAGTGAGATACTATGACATATTGATTTTTGCCTGTTAATTAAAACATGAGTATGAACCCTAAAAACAATTTTCTTATCTGTAAATCCTAGTTAATACGAGGGCTATCCAGAAAGTAGATTACGTTTTGGAATAAAAAAATAAACAAAGTATAGGAAACAAATTTTATTATATACAGATGAAAGCCACACTCAAATACTACTTTTCTACATAGTCACCATACAAATTAAGGCATTTATCGTAGCGATGTACGAGCTTGGAAATTCCTTCGTCGAAAAATTCGGCCGCCTGCGCCTTCAACCACTTCGTTACCTCTTCTTGCAGCTGTGCGTCGTCATCAAAACGCTGCATAGCCAGCCACTTCATTGCTGGGAATAGGTGGAAGTCGCTCGGTGCCAGGTCGGGACTGTACGGCGGATGAGGAAACAACTCCCACTTAAAAGATTCAAGAACTTTACGAGTGACATTTGCCGTGTGGGGCCGGGCGTTGTCGTGAATCAACAAGATCTTAGAGCTCAACATTCCTCTGCGCTTGTTTTGAATTGCTCTTCTGAGTTTTTGGAGAGTTTGGCAATACCTTTGAGAGTTTATTGCAGTGCCTCTTTCCAGGAAGTCCACCAAAATTACACCTTTTCTGTCCCAAAAAACAGTCGCCATCATCTTCCTTGCCGACATTGTTTGCATGCATTTCTTGGGTTTTTGGGGAGAACTTGTGTGCCCCCACTGCATTGATTGCAATTTCGTTTCACAGTTCACATGTTTCACCCATGTTTCGTCACCAGTAACGATGCGATCGAGTAAAGAGTCACCATCCTTATGGTAAGCGTCCAAAAAGTTCAACGCTGCAGCCATTCGCTGATTTTTGTGGTCCTCTGTCAAGATTTTTGGAATCCATCTTGCACAAAACTTGTGGTAACCAAGCTTTTCGCTGATGATTTCGTGCAACAAACTTCGCGAAATTTGTGGAAAACTCAAAGAAAGTTCCGTTATTGTGAAATTTCGATTTTCACGGACTTTAGCATCGACTTTTTCGAGAAGTTCGGCGGTCACTATGCTGGGTCTCCCACTTCGATCTTCGTCGTGAACATTGGTTCGGCCATTTTGAAATCTTATGACCCACTGACGCACTCCACCTTCAGTGATAATGTTGTCCCCATACACTTCACGAAGCTGCCGATAGATTTCTATCGGTTTACAGTTTTTTGCAGTCAGAAACCTTATTACTGAGCGCACCTCGCAGCTCGCGGGATTTTCAATTAACGCAGACATTTCAAACCGTCACAGTATCTGAACGGAGCACAGCACGAACCTCTCACTAGCACGGCTAGATGCAGACTGAGCTGCGCAACGCTCTGACCCCAAGATGGCCGCGCTAGCCCCGCCCCTAGCGGACACAGACGGAAACGTAATCTACTTCCTGAATGGCCCTCGTATATGTTGAACAACGAAAATAGAAATGTCTAACATGACAGCTAAAATTCTTACAATTATGCACCAACTCACCAAAGTTTCTCACTATTACTGTCAATCCTTGAAATTTAAGGGTCTTCATATTCGACTGCCGCCTATTATTAAAATTCGTCCTTCTTTGATACATTTGTACCATTCAAACTTCAAAGATACTTCATTTCATCACTGTTTGTTATAAGCTGTATGATGTATTTCTAGAAATTCTGAAGCAATCTATCTTAACTTTTTATAACTTTAACAGGGAAACTTTTATATTAATTGTTTTGTCTTCCATATTTGAGAAGCTCAGTCAAATTATATTTCAGTTGAAATGAAAGAATATCATATTACAAGTTATATTATGTTATTTCAAATTAGCATGTAAATCCAAGTGATGATACACCCAAATTATCCATTAGCTAGTAAGTATTTGTATTTACATTTTATTAAGACATTTCATTCCTGTAACTTTTCTAATATACTTACATTACATATGAAATCCTGTACAGACTTTTAGTTATTTAATTTGCATTTGTTATTGTTCAACAACATTTCTTTCTTATGATTTAATATATATAAATAGAATGATATGAATTGAAACTGATTTAATATAGACTACTTTCTAAAAATCGTAACAAGCAAAAAACTATATGCATAAATTTGACGAGATTTAATAAAAATTTGCTGTACTGAATTCAACATAAATTACATTGTCAAATTCAGTACAACATTAAAAATATTCACCATAAAATTAGTCCATAGAAAAGTATCCAAAAATTAAGAGAAATACAAGATGTAAAGTACTCCAATATAAAGTCATTCCTTACAAATACCGCTCAACAAGCTTAATTAGATTTTATTCAAAAGGCTGAGTTTGCTGATATGTAAATGTAATTTTTCCTCTTAAAGATACTGCTCCAATAATCATACTAGAATAAAAGAATATCTTTGTGCCTGGTAACACATACATCTTACCAGTTGCATCTCTACAAAACATATATGTATAAACCTAGGATTTTTATTTGCATAATTTTGAGTATTTAGGTTCCAATCCTGCAGCTTGCAAGTGTAAATAGATCGAAAATATCATCTTGAACACACATAGAACTTCCAAACATTAGTTACTGGGTTGGAAGTAGATTCGACTTCACATGAGGAATATTTTCACTCTCCAACACTTGCTAGTTCAGCAACCCCTTGTTTGCCAACACTTGCTAGTTAAGCATTTATCAAAAATTATTATTCAATCCATCAGTCATCTCATCACCAAGAATATAATTTAGAGGGCAAACAAGCATTACACTTGAGAGGGGAACATTACACATAAGAGTCTTACATAATAGTCCCGCCCATACTTTTGATATTGGGTTAGTAGTCAGTCTCTGCAAACCACCATACTCTCCAGAGCAGCAGTGAAGAATATTTACCTCTGTCTTTACTGCAGCTTATGCTTTTGTACAGATATGAATCACTCTGATTTATGATTCAAGATGAGGAATATGCAAATTGTAGACAACCTCAGATAAAAACCTCAAAGAACCTTTTTATGCAAGCTAAAAGCTGACATAAAGATCCAGCTGCTATGATGATTTGGTTCAATTTATTTGATTACGGCAAAGCACATTAAGGGTATTTGCCTAAAAGGAGGAATGCCTTAATGCAAGACTTTCTTAAAGGAAATTGGCTTGCTGCTGCTATAGGGCAGAAGGATCGCTGAATTAGAATAGTTAGGCTTTTTTATGCAATAATTTGTAGACATTTGTCTTCTATTTCAGTTATACAATATTTACTTAATATTTAATTATTAATATTTTTTCTTTATAATTTTTACCTCATTCCTCTTGATAATTTTACTGCTTGAAAACCAGAAGGGGAAAAGTATGCAGTATGTACAATTTCTAAACATAAAGCTTAAATGATAAACATAACATATTGAAAGCACATATAAAGACACCTAATATTACTTTATTAAATATTTCAAAGGCCTTAGCAGTTCCAATATTTTTTTTTATTTATGCAAAAAATTTCTTATTTGTGCATATATTTTACATTGTTGTCACAAATTGCAAGTTTCTAAATCGTATGCTGAAGAAACTAAGGGGGAGTACACATGGAAGAGAAATATGAATATAAATAGAGCATTTCTAACCTTTTTTTAATAATTAACTCAAATTAAAAATGAACAATCATAAAGAAAAACTATTCTGCAAATAAATTAAAAATTGATTCTACAATATAAAGTTCTCAGAAAGACCCACTTTCAATTTAATCATTTAGTTGGCCAATACAACCAAAATCAAGATGCCTATAAGCTCACAGCTGCAGTCATCTTGAGTTCACTTCATATAAAATGACTATGGGAATCCCTTTAATTATATTTAAAACATAAAATGAAAGCAATTCATTTTTTTTATGTTTCTGCCCCATTATATGAGTTGATGCAATTCAGATTAATTCCCATGCAATATCACTTTTCAGATTTTATAATCCAAGTCTGGTGAAAGTAAACTATTTCACATGAAATATCCTAATTTTCTAAATTTTCCTTAATCTTTAGAATCTAGTTTCTTTGAAAAAATGAAAATGATGTGACTGTGAGTGCAAAAAAGGGAGATACAATCTCGTAAAAGTCGTCTGTTTTGAAACAACTTTATTCATTATCAAAATATCTTTTAATATGGATTAACATTACGACAGAAAGAGCTGTATAAACATTGAAGGAATCTATATTATTCCTAGTGTGAAAGACATTATTCTTGTGTACTAATATTTATACTAATATTTGTATAAATTTTATTTAGTGTTCTATTGTACATATTTGTATCATATAATCTTCAATAAAAGTTTAAAAATATAACAGGTCTGGCCTTTATATAAAACTTATTTAATACATATGAGTACAATTATGTTAAATGTACTGGAATATAAAACATAACCTTAATTAACAGCATTTCAGCAAATATAACAGCATAATGTATGCATTACAATTCCACTTTACAGAAATATTATAAAAAGAAAAAAATTCAACTCTTTCAAAAGCTATATATATATTTGAATATAACAAATATTCTCTATTTGTATAAAGCTAATTTAAATTATGAAAATTTAAATGTATACAAATAAAAGATTAATTTTGCTGCGAACTAATTTACAATATCATTTAAATTCAGAGAGCATATGTAAATTAAGTGCAAGTATCTAAAACCTTGAAAAAATATTTAATAATCCAAATAATTACTGTATTTGACAGCATATAAGATGCACATTTTTTCCTAAATTTGGTCTCAAAAAAGTTACCTGCGTCTTATACGTGAAGGACACAGGTTAACTTTCAATACTGAATGCTATTTTTAGCCCGGATAATGGTCTAGACACACATAACTTTTTCTACATCTGCCATAATTATTTTGCGCATGCGTGAAATATCTTCACAAAACCAAAGCTCAGTGTTAGTCAAATCGCTCCTGTTGAGCCTTTATTTTTTACATTTCTTGACAGCAACGTTGATCGGTGCAATGATAATCGTTGAAATTATTGTTAAAAACCCAAAAAACCGGAACAAAAATTAACCCGCGAGCACACGCAATGGGTATGTCATACCCATGGGCATTTTTCTTTTTGTATATTTCTCACTTATTCTTTCATAAAAGGACGAAACTTGGTGTAGCTGAGTTCAAGGTCCACATACTTAAATGCGGGAAATTCCTGAAGGTGACAGGTGCAACGGTTTTTTAGGAACAGCATTGTTTGGGCATCTCATACCCGCGCGTGTGTACTCGCGTTTCTCAGTGAGTCACTTCGCACTTCTCGTTTTCAAGCTTTTTTTTTTCAAGTATAGGTTTTTTCTTGAGTTGTAAGCATGGCGCCGTATATTCCTTACGATGAAGAGATGAAAAGATTGAGAAATATTCTTGAAAACAGTTTCTTCTGATGAGGATTCATTTAGTGAAGACGATGAAGATGTTGATGACGAAGAATATAATAGTAATCATGATTCATCCATAGAGAGTAGTGATTCAGATACAGAAACAGAAAATGAAATTTGGAATGTAGCAATGAGTTTTATGTTGGAAAAAATGGAGTAAAAAAATGGAACAAAAATAAATTCCGGACTAATGTTAGAATTGGAGCCAAAAATATTATAACTAAACTCCCTAGGAAATACGAAGTATTCTAAAGACGTCTCAACACCTTTAGATTCCTGGTCACTGCTTATCGATGAAGATATGTTAAAACATGTAGTCGACAATACAAATATTTATATTGATTCAGTACGTGGAAATTTCACTCATGAACGGGATGCGAAAGCAACAAATGAGTTGGAAATCAAAGCTTTAATTGGATTGCTGTATTTATGTGGAGTTTATAAATCATCCCATGTGAACGTAAGAGATTTGTGGGCAACAGGCAAACGGGAATGGACATAGTTTCGGGAAACAATGTCAGTGAACCGATTCCTCTTTCTTTTACGATGCCTCCGTTTTGATGACATTAGAGATCGTCCCAGTAGAAGAGACGTTGATAAATTAGCTCCGATCAGAGAATTTTTTGGAAATTTTGTCACAAATTGCCAAAAGGCTTATACTGTTAGGAGAGTATGTGATCCATTGATGAGAAGTTGGAATCATTCAGAGGTCGTTGTTCCTTCAAACAATATATGCCCAACAAGCCAGCAAAGTATGGCATAAAAATATTTGCTCTTGTAGACGCAAGGGTATTTTATACCTGGAGTATGGAAATTTATGCTGGTAAACAACCAGATGGGCCATTTCAAGTTGAAAATGGTGCAAGCGCAAGCGAAGTTGTCAAACGTTTAATAAGGCCCTTATACAACTCTGGTCGAAATTTAACAGTTGATAATTGGTATATGGGATATGAATTATCTCAAGATCTCCTAAAGAAGAAAATTACGATAGTAGGTACAATGCGTAAAAATAAGAGAGAAATCCCACCTGAGTTTCTGGCAAAGAAAAGAGAAGTATATTCTTCAATTTTCGGTTTTCAGAAAGAAGCAACACTTGTATCTTATGTGCCGAAAAAAAATAAGAGTGTGATCCTGTTATCCACAATGCATTCCGGCGATCAAATCGATGAATCTACTGGGGAATCTAAAAAGCCTGAAATCATTACATTCTATAACATGACAAAAGGAGCAGTCGATGTTGTAGATGAGATGGCAGCTGCGTATTCTACAGCAAGAGTAGCACGTCGATGGCCTATGGTGATTTTCTTTTCAGTGTTAAACGTGGCTGCCATTAATGCAAGAATAATTCTACTATCAAAGAAGGAACCACCAACGGAATACCGTACCAGGCGTACTTTTCTCAAAGCCTTAGGGATGCAGCTAATAGAAAGTGTTCAAAATGAACGACGACGAGCATCTGTAGTTCCTGATTCTAGACAAACACTGACCACCGATGAACATGTTAACAATGAACCACACCCCAAAAAAAACCTAAAATTACTTACAAGAGGTGTACAGATAGAAAGACTAGATTCATTTGTGAAAATTGTAGCAAAAGTATATGTATGGAACATATGACCTCATTTTGTAAACAATGTTCAAAAAATTGTAAGTAAATAATTTTACCTCTCCTTATTCTTTCATATTTTGTCTAAAATGAAGTATTAACTTGGTTTTACATTTTAATTTCATTTAAAAAACGATTAATTTTATTCGGCAAATTTTGATTACAAACTTTTTATTCGGGTATGACATACCCGGCGCGTGTTCTTGTTCGTCGGATGTGGTGTGGGGGTATGATGAACTTTTTTTTTTGGCTTTAAAATTTCTTATAATTTAAATTATCAAAAAACGTGCCTAAAAGTGCAAATGCATTAATATTGTTGATACAAATTTTTTTCTTGTGTGTGGCCTTCTAAATAAGGGTGCGTCTTATATGCCGTCAAATACGGTAATCCCAAAATTTTTTTTAAAGAATTTTTTAAGACTAAATTAATTTGCATAAAGTGAAAAATTGTTGAGCAGGCAGGAGATAGATCTTTTCAAAGGGAAGTTGACCCCAAACCTAACTCTTCAATTACTCAATTCGTGTTTCGTCATCCATATTGGTATGGGTATAGTAATATTCAAAACCAAAAATAAAACCAAATGTAGTGAATTGCTTAAAAAAAATTTTTAACAATTAAAGAATTTCGAGAAATTTAGTAAGCAAATCGACTAAAAAACAAAATTATTAATTAAAAGTAAATTGCAGCAACCCTTGACTATTGGAAACTTCCCTGACATGAATTATGCATGCAAACCAAAATAAACTAAATACAATCTATAAAAATACAAAAATAATTTAATAATACAAAAATACATAAAAGGCAAGTAAATAGTAAGTTTTAATTTAACTTAATTTAAGTTTTAATTTAACTTACCTTGTATTTACAAATTTTTTATCCCAGAGAGTGGAGTAGCATTTGCTAAACAAAGTAAGGTTGAATTGTTTCTGTTAACTGAATAAATAAAGGGCGCTAAAACTAATGCAGAGTTGAGTGTAAAGCTGCTACCAGTGTGATCTATTGTAAAAAATTGTTGCTGTAAACTCTTAAGCAATGTAAAATGTTTCTTCTGTATGAAAAATGTTGCCAACTATTAAGGACTAAAAATATTTCAAAAATTCCGAACTGTTACAGATCACAAAAATGTTGCAAACTGCTAAGTTTGAAATTTTTCTGAATTAAAGTTTTCAATAAACATTTTAATTGAATTAAATTAAATTAATTTAATTTAAAAGTTTGAAAATATTTTTAAAGAAATTTTTAAAATCATTTTAAACACACAAAATGAATGAATGAATGATGATTATTGTAAGAAATTTTGTAATAAACTGAATTTATAACTGAAAACCTACAATAGTTAATAAAATTTCACTAAATCTGGCACGGAAGGAAAAAGAAAAAAAAAATCTCACAATTGGGTATAATTGAGCTTTTGAAAAAGTGGCCTATTGTAAAAGGAAGATCGATTGATTAAATAACATATACAAATTAAGTTGAGAAATAAATAAGCCTAATAGATTGTAATATCAATGAACATTTTTAATGACAGAGATTAACTTAAACATAGTTGCGTACAGCAGAGAAAAAAAGGCGAAGAAGTAAGAATGGTATACATATACATACATACGTAATAAACAGTTACGTCATCATTCATCACCGCGCGGATAAACGCGAACGGCGCATGCGTCAGGAGAAGCTCTCTTAAGCTAAACGTCGTATTATAATTTATGATACAACAATCCCCCTTTCGACGTTTGGCGGCTGAAAAAAAAAATAAACATTAATCATTTACAGTTATTCCAATTAATTTACAGCACTTAGAATGTTTCGAAGCAGTCAATGTTTTTGTCAGTACATCAGCAGGCATTTTCTCTGTTGGCACATATTTAACGTCTATTTCATTTCTTTCATAAATTTCACGAATGAAATGATGTCTAATATCTATGTGTTTAGTGCGTGAGTGATAAAATGAGTGATAAACAGCATTTTTCATAAGCTTCTGTGCTCAGCAGTAAAATTTAATTCTTTAAGAAAACGACGTAAATAAACTGCTTCTTTGGCACTTTCTGAAAGACTGATGTACTCTGCTTCAGTACTTGATAATGCAACAGTTTGTTGCTTTCGTGATTCCCATGTTATCGGATTTCCAGCTAGCTTGAATAGGTAACCTGTATACGATTTTCTAGTATTAACATCAGACGCCCAGTCGGCATCGGTATATCCAATAAGTGCTTTTCCAGTCTTTCGAAATTTTAAACAATAATTTTTAGTTCCTTTTAAGTATCGAAGAACGCGCTTTGCAGCCAACCAGTGTAATTTTCCAGGATTGTTATTATTAAATTGGCTCAGGTGACTGACGGCATATGTAATATCCGGCCTAGTAAACACAGAAAGAAAGATACATAAGCGAACCAATTAGACGGCGATAAGGTACATTGTTCATTTCTTCCTTTTCAGTTTCAGAAGGACACATTTCTTTACTTAATTTTACACTAGGATCTAAAGGAGTTGCTACTGGTTTTGCATCTTGCATATTAAACCTTCGTAGAATATTATCAACATATTTCTGCTGAGATAAACTAATAGAATTATTATTTACATCTTGATTAAATTCTATTCCAAGACAATAATGAAGTTTGCCTAAATCTTTAACATGAAATTCTTTAGAAAGATAACCTTTAAGTTCAGCATATAAATCACAGCTATTTGTTGCTATTATTAAGTCATCCACATATAAAATTAGAATTAACTCACCTTGAGATGTTTTCATCCTGTATACACACTTATCTGATTGTAATGGTTGTAATCCAAAGTTTTTGAGTTTTTTGTCTAATTTTTCATACCACTGTCTTCCACTTTGTTTCAAACCATAAAGAGACTTTTGCAAAGCATAAACATAATCAGGATTATTTTGGTCTTCAAAACCTTTAGCTTGTTCCATGAAAATTTCTTCTTTTAAATCTCCGTTAACATAAGCCATAACAAAATCTAGTTGATATAACATAAGGTCTTGTTCAGCACTGTATGCAATCACAGTTCTTATAGAACTTGCTCTGGCTACTGGAGCAAAGGTTTCATTAAAATCAATTCCAGGTTCCTGTGCAAATCCTCTAGCAACCAATCGAGCTTTTCTCTTTTGAACTGTTCCATCTGCATTATATTTCGTTCTAAGAACCCAGCGACATCCTATTACCTTTTTGTTGTGTGGTCGCTTTACTAATTTCCATGCACCATTTTTAACAAGTGCTTCATACTCACTTTGCATAGCCTTATGCCATTCTTCAGCATAACTTCCATTTAATGCTTCTTCTAATGTCGGATTTGTATCTTCTTCAGCAATTTGTGCTTCTTCCTTTTCTATGTTTATATTGTGGTACTCCTTTTTTGGTCTTCCTGGCTTCCCAGTCTTGACTTTCTTTGGACGACCTGGCCCCCTTTTAATCTGCATTTCAGGTAGTGCTTCGGAATCAGAATCTTCATTATCAGATGATTCAGCAGATGCTTCTGCCATATTTGAGGGGTCTTCTGTTATTTCATCAGCCGATATTTGCTTTACATTCAGAGGTTCTTCCTTCTTTTTATCAGGAATATTTTCGAGAAATAAAACTTCTAAATCTTTATCATAATTAGTACAGTTTTCAAATTCATCAATGAATCTAACATCTCGGCTTATAACGATTTTTCTGGAATTTTTATTCCACAGCCTGTATGCTTTCGATTCATTTGAGTATCCTACAAATATATGTTCTTCTGATCGAGGATCGAATTTCCCTTTAGACCTTTTATTAAGTACAAAACATTTCTGTCCGAATACTTTGAAGTGAGATACAGTTGGCTTGATGCCAAAAAATAATTCATAAGGTGTTTTGTTTACTCCCAGGCTTCGATTCGGGCAACGATTACGAATATAAACAGCACAGTTCAAGGCTTCAGCCCAAAAGGATTCGGAAAGATTACTTTGTAGTAACACACATCTGGCCATTTCAGTTAAAGTGCGGTTCATGCGTTCAGCTCTCGAATTCTGTTGAGGAGTCATTGGTGCAGAGAATTCTCGTTTAATCCCGCATTCTTGAATATATTTATTAAATTCTTCTCCGCGATATTCGAGACCGTTATCAGTCCGAAGGATTTTTATTTTCTTTCCTAGACGATTTTCGACCGCAGCTTTGTATTTAATGAATGCATTTTTCACTTCATCTTTAGTTTTAAGAAAAAACTGACTTCGACATAACGCGATTTGTCGTCTATGAAAGTAACAAAATAACGCGAACCAGCATGGGATGGGACTCTCATAGGTCCACACAAATCTGAGTGAATCAAGTTCAGTAATTCATCACTTTGAAATTTTGATTCTTTTTGAAAAGGTTGCACAGTTTGTTTACCTCTGATACAGACTTTGCAGTCTTTTAGAGATTCAGTGTTATTAAAATTTAAATTTCTAACCATGTTATCAGACTTAAGTCTTTTCAAATCAGACTCATTTAAATGACCTAATTTAAGATGCCACTTTACAAAATCACTTACCTGTGCTATTGCAGCTGTTTCAGTGCTTGGATGTATATAATAAAGATCACCATGACGAATAGCCTGCACTAGTATAGATCCATTTGGTTCTATTATTCTAGCATGTCGTTCTGTAAAAATCACTGAACGATTATTTGCAGTAGCTTTAGATGTTGACAGCAAATTACATTTTAATTCCGGAACACATAACACATTTTTGAGCGTAAGTTTAATTGTCTTATTTCCGTTAGGTACTGTTATAAGGACAGTTCCAATTCCTGTAATTTTTGCTGTTTTGTCAACTGCTAACTTTATGGTTGAATTCGTTCGAGGGTGAAATTCTGAAAATAACCTTCTGTCATTGCACATGTGAGATGTACAGCCACTATCTAAGCACCATGAGGAGGTCTTCTGATAAGCATTGTTTACTGCTAAACTAATCTGCTCTTCATAATTAGAAGCCATCATAGAACCTTGATTTCCCTTATTTGATTGTGCATATTTTCTATCAGCTATTTTCTTTCTGCATTCAGATGCCTTGTGCCCAATTTTCGAGCAGTAATTACACTTCAAGTTTCGAAAATTTCTTTCAGCTGGAAAATTTTTGTTTGAATTTACCTTCCATTTTTCATTTTTCTTCTGTTCTTGATTTCTTCTTTTATAATCAGTATAGTATGCATTCTGTGAATCTTGAGACGTTTTCCCCTTTTCTTGCTTCCCATTCTTCTAACATTTTGATTTTCAAAGATTCGGGACTAGGTAGGTAACTGATCTCTTGATTCGATGGCGCATCTAAAATTTTCAAAATTTTTCTGGAATACTGTAGAGCAGAAGAATCGATAATAAATCATCAGCTATGTCAATTTCCATTTGTTTAAGCTTATCAACTATTTCGAAGAAATTATTCAAATGTTCAGACATCGTTTCGCTTTCCGCCATTTTTCTAAATAAAAGCTGTTTTAATAATGTAGCCTTCTTCGCAGGTCCTTTCGATTCATATACGGCTTTGAGTTTATTCCACACAGCATTTGATGTCACACAATGCTTTATATGACACAGTTCACTAGGATTAATAGCAAGAATTATATCTGCGCGAGCTTTTTGATCAGCTTGGAGCCATTTCTTTTCGTCTTCGGTTCCTTCAGCAGGTTTTAGCGCTTTACCGGTTACATAATCCCAATGGTCGTTTTTAATCAATACTGCTTCTATTTGTAATTTCCAACTGTCAAAATTATCTTTTCCGAGCTTTTCTATAGTAGTCAAATGCGACATAATGTAATACAGTCTCTCACAGCCAAAAAAAAAACAAGATTGAGCGCTATAAAAATAGGCTTAACTGAACGCTGATCAGTTCTTACCGTTGATTAGACGTAACAGTTCTTGCACTGAATTAGGCTTAAGAGTTCAATGCTCGAAAACTTCAAAATGTTCATTTTAAAATAAGTATTTTGCTAATTAAGCACAGTTGAAACGTTCCTGGGCCCATAACCATTGAAGAAATAAATAAGCCTAAATAGATTGTAATATCAATGAACATTTTTAATGACAGAGATTAACTTAAACATAGTTGCGTACAGCAGAGAAAAAAGGCGAAGAAGTAAGAATGGTATACATATACATACATACGTAATAAACAGTTACGTCATCATTCATCACCGCGCGGATAAACGCGAACGGCGCATGCGTCAGGAGAAGCTCTCTTAAGCTAAACGTCGTATTATAATTTATGATACAACACAAGTATAATCCATTAACTCTTCAAAATCCTCCATTACCCTCCAGTTAGTGGTAGTCATTCGCAGCAAAGTGTCAGACAAATACTAATTTCTTTTTTCATGCTTAATTAACAGACAGAACAAGCAGTACTGGACAAAAGTATTACTGAAGTCAGATGAAACACTGTTGCACTCTCCTAAAGTAATAGTTTAGTGTGGAGTTGGTACTCTTAGGATAGCAGGCATGTATCTTTAAAAATTACAATGAAAAAACAATTGTGATTTCAGTATGTTACATATATATGTTGGTAGGCGTCACTGAACCTCAATTTCAATGGCCTGACATCGATTTCAAAACCTTTTATTTTCAGTTGGTTACAATGACAGCCTATGTCACATGCTATAATAATATGGTCAGTATTCATGAAATATTATTGGAATTAATACCTTTCATTTTGATGAAACTGCTTGGCCTGCCGATTGCCTGACCTAAGAGTACCAGACATTTTTTTTTTTTTTTTTTTTTTTTGTAAATGTTGTTGAAAGATTGGGTGTTCTGGAAATATACCACAGCTACTATAGATTTTCTGGCTATTAACCCATTAACCGATAAAACTACAAGGAATGTTTCTTTTCTCATGAAAATAATGACAAATATTAAATTAAGCATTTATAACATAAATTTGCATTGAAAATTAAAAAAATGCTCTTACCTGTGGAAAAAGCGAGTGTTGCGTTTGCGCAACGTCAGCGGAATAAGACTATGGATGTTTAGTGAGTAGGATTGTACTCGTGTGACATTTCTTTTGAGTGGAGCGCAGGATTACTTTTTAGCTGTATAACGTTTATAAATCTACAAATCACTTTACTTGTAATTAATTTAATATTAAAATAGACATTGTATTTTTTTTAAAAATGCAGATTATTTCATTTGAAAGATTCAAGCATGAAAAGCTTGATTACAATCATGATGTAAAGCTACATTACATACTTTGCATCTATAAACAGTCTGGCTATGGTACTCTTCACAACAAAGTCTTTTGTTATCAACGGACTTTACAATAGAATGTCTACCATCTCCATGCAATGGTTTTTGAATACTGAATTTACTAGGTCTTCCTGCTGCTGATATATTTCTGGCTAATTCTACACTCTCAATAGGAGTTTACAAAAGAAATGATGCATTCTTGCGTCTGAAATCTAAAACAGACTTTATATTTCCAGTAGTAAAAAGTGGTGATATTTAGTAAGTTTAGATATGGTCTCACCTCATATAATTTATCAGTATTGTCAATTTGACTATTGTCAAATGCAAATTCTGCTTTATATTCCTGTACTGCAAATGTGATATCAATTCTCATACAACAGGAACAGAAATGTCCTTATCAAAAGACCAATACATTTTTTTTTTTTTTTTTTTTTTTTTTGAGGTAAAGAATGATATCCTGTAAGCAATAATATTCCAATAAATTTTCTCATATAGGCTTCAGGTGCAATAAATTCTGGGCATTTTTTTCCTGAGCGTATATATTTGTCTGTTCAACGAGAAGAAAGTAAATGTCTAAACCAAAAGGAAAATCGAAAATATGTGCACTAGTTTTACCTTGTGTTTTGTCTTTTATAATTTCTCTTCTATCTCTTTCTTCATGTTACTCCTGAGACATAACTAACAGTTCCTTTTTTATCCACTTCAAGATTTCAGTCTTCTGCTTTTTAAACTTTTTAGTATGACTATAACTGCTTTTAGAAGGCTGAAACTTACATTTTAAGAGAATTTCAACTTCCACAGCAGTATCATTTGGTAAAATATTATTATCATTATTTAAAACATTGCCATTCCTTTCTTCTTCGTCAGTAGATTCTGCAATTTCTGGGGGAACAACAACAATATCAGTTTGCTTAAAGTATGAGATTAATTATTATAAACAAAATGATTGTTGAAGGCAAATATTTTTTTACAGAAATAATCTTCATAATATTCCCTACACAAAAACATCTGCTGGTATAAAATATCTTGGGTAGTTATATTTATATACGCATTTATTTTGACCGTTGCGTCAACGCAACACCAGCGGCTAATGGGTTAAGGAGTCATCCTTAATAGCCAGAATGTGTCCTCCTTTCCCCCATGCACTTAAAACAATTAAAAACAATTACATAATCTTATAAGTTATTTTTATAGTATAATATATAAACTGTTTTGTACCAATATAAATGTTTTGGAGATTAGATTTTTAACACGACAAGAACCTTTGCTTCCATGCATATACTTCACAGTCACAAATTCATCAAACTATGCTATGTTTTGTATAATTACATTTACTATTATATCTAGAATTATTATCCACATAATATCAGCAGAAAATAATAATTGTTATTTGATTAGAAAATTTGTTCTAATTATGATTATACAAATATTTGGAATCATAAGCCATTTCTGTGGTGCCATAATTTATGGACTTTATACACATTGAAGCTACATAACAAAAGCATAAAAATATGAAGTCATAAACATTTGTGTGAAACTCAGCTTTCAGCCCAAACCAAATCAGGAAATAATTTTGCTAATTCCTGTGCATCATGCATACCACATTTTGCTCCAGCTACTTGACAACCTATAGTAATGGCATCAGAAATATTTTTACCATTCATAAAGCCCATAATCGTTGCAGCTACAAAAGTATCTCCAGCTCCTAAAGTATTTACAATTTCTATAGGAGAATATGCTTTTGATGTATATAATGAACCACCAGCAACCTTTGCAGATGCTCCTTTGTCTCCCCAAGCACAAATTATAATACTTCTGAAATATATAGAACATATTTATTGTAAGTTAGATATGCCTTGTAATGTAATAACATATTTAACCATCATTAAAAAAAGTACTTAGATATTATTCCGTCAACTGTCAAACTCTCGCCAAGCAGTGCAATGGAACACCAATTATTGATTAATGCAGCATCACAACATATGCATAATATTTGCATTTCCCTTTCATGCAACCCCAACTGATTCTTGTTAATTTTTTTAATGAACAAGGTTATAAATTAACTGCTATTGCTGTGTTTTTTCATTGCATTTTTTAAAAAAATGTTTAAAATTTTTTATCAGACTTCTACAGAACAGAAGCAATGGAATATTTTCAAAGTTATGGGATCCTATCATAAAAAAACGCTTGTATGACATGATCAACAGCAAATGTCATATGAAATAGCAACATAATTGGAACAATTATCTGCGAGAAGTTTGTACTCATAGCATTCTAAGGAAAGTTTGTAGTAAAATAGGAGAGCTTAATAAAATATTAGAAACTGACAAAAGCTCTTTTTACTATGGGCAAAAACAAAGTGGGATGAATACTGATTGCTTATTATTAAATAAAGTGGCATCAGCTCCTTCAGAATCCTGCATGAATGACTGGCACAACTTAGACTGAATCTTCACCCAACTTTTACATTCAATGATAGCCAGCTTTCGTGGTTAACAGGATAATATACAAGTACACACACAAAAAAGAAAAATAAAAACTGTTAAATAAATATTGAAAAAAATTATTTAGGTACTTACATATTAACAAAACCACCTTGTCGCAAACCGGCGACTTTTTAGATGAAAAGGTAAAAGCTACATATTGCATGCAAGTCCACATAAAAGAGGGTTATTTATTAAAAGAGGGTTTTCCTGACTTTTTTTAGGAATATTCCCAAACTATTGGTATTTATCATCAGTAAACATATTTTAGTAATTTAAAATACAAAATTGAATTAATTAAATAAGAATTACATGATACTGTTATAAAATGACCAGCCATGGTAAGACAACTTCCCCACAGAGCAGGTTTAGGATTGCTAGAAATGGCAAGGGAAGGCAGGGTTGCTAGATTTGGTACGAAACTGCCCATTTGGTGACAAAATTCGCGATAAACCATAGACGTAGTAAGAACATTCTAGACTGAATTCTCAATGGTTTACTCCAGAATTTTCCCGAAGGCATATAAACCCTGCCTGTACGTGGAGTAGCAGTGTATCGTGAGTTTTATCATGAAGAGTATCTTGAGGGTGTTGAGCTATGAGAAAGACCAACCAAGTCGGGAGCTGTGTGTTTGCCGTGAAACTGTCTTCATTGTTATAGACTGGCAGCCAGGAGGCCGTGTTGTTGATTGTTTCAGCATGTTTATCATAGTTTTTCGACGATTGTAAACATGTCTTTGGAACTCTACTGTGAAACACTGGCGAATAAATTGTGTTGTTTCAGCATGTTTATCATAGTTTTTCGAGGATTGTAAACATGTCTTTGGAACTCTACTGTGAAACACTGGCGAATAAATTGTGTTTTGATTCTTCATCAAGTGTTGTCGGCAATCACTGTAAAACTACAAACCCATAGAAATACAACAATACATTAAAAAAATAAAACACTTACATTTTTCAAATCTTTCTGTAATTTTTTTGTGCTATTCTTCTCCTAAAGCAATCTATACAATGTGCAGATTCAGCTTCCTGCAACTTTTGGCAACAGCAACTAACAACGAAATGCATTTTCTCATTATTACCTTTAGAAAATGTTCAGCAAAATTCTGTATTCCTGCAGAAATTTTACTACGTTTTTAGTTCATTGCTGGCACATTCCACAAGCTCATATTTTAAAACTAGGTTCACAGCGAAAAATATCACAATTTGTTTATAATAACACTGAAACTTGGAACACACATGAAAATGGCAGCATTGCTTGACTGAAAGATTGCTTGCTGGTAGAATGTTATGCACGTGACTGCCGGAAGATGGTTATGCACATGGTTGCCAGAGTTTCGTGCATTCTGAAAATTTGGAGACTTCTACTAAGGTGGTTGCATTAATACATAAGTACCTTTAATTTATTGTATAATTAATAAATCAAAACAAAAGCTGTAGTATTTCATATCAATAACTTTGTTATTAAAGTAAATAAAATGAATTCTTAAGTTATGTAACAAAATTAATTAAGAGAATTAAGAAGTACATGAATTTAACTATACAACATAATTTTATTAATGAATATTTGCAGTTAAAAGATATTAAACATCAAGTCACTTCAAGCTTTCTGCAATACATAATTAATACTATAAATCAAAGGAAGATATTTGTGAAGAAAAGTGTCTCATTTCTTCACAATTAATACGAGTTTGAGTTGCTGCATGACTTTAATATCACAGGAAATCACATATTATGAGGAAAATACTAATTTATCTAGCAATTTTGTTTCCGGTTGCAAAATTTTTAGAATGACCCTCAATGAGTTGATTTTGGATATAAAAATGTTCAATACCAATACTCCCCGATTAAATGCATACCTTTACAAATATTTGACATTACCATATAAAAGAGGGTTATTTTTATAACATTTCAGCATAGGTATAAAGTATTAAAAGAATAACATTAGCTGGATAGTTAAAAAATTATCCAGCTAATGTTATTCTTTACAGTTAAAAAGCACAGAAGTTAATGAATTGATTAAACTCAAGCCTAGTTTAAAACATGTATACTTCGTTAGCTTTCATTTTTCACTTTCTGGATCAATAGTGTTGCGTGCATACAGGTTAGAATAGATTGAATGCATAAGTCCAATAATGGGTTAATAAAATTTATTCTCATCAAAAGAAATATATCAGAAAGCTGGGAACTTTTCTCACAGATTCGCATAACTGTTCACAATAGCACGCAGTATAATCTGCAATTATACTTTAAACTACTAAAATGTTAAAATACAATGCAATGAAAAGTGTTATCTAAAGAGAAAGCTAATTCAGAAATCTCAGTTCATGCGGAACTAAACAAATTGCAATAACAGTAACTAAGCAACTGAACTGAGACGCTCTTTCTTTGGTCTTAAAATAGTTTTTAATTGCCTGCACGAGATCTTTCTAGTAATTTCTGCTTCTCAAGACTTTTGGAAAGTAAAAAGAGTGGAATTACGGTTACAGCTAACATAGTGGTCAATTACATTTATTCAATTTAAATATAAATTACCGAGATAAACTTTTACGCAATGTTAAATGCATGTGCTCCTGCATTTTTACTTTTCCGACATACCTTTCTCTCAAAATTTGTCTTGCGCTGAGTTGCATGAGGAAATACAACAATTTAAATATTAATTCTACTAAAATTAGCTATCTTTAAATATAAAATTCATAACAATATTAATAATCCACAAAATAATCAATAAAGATTAGAGACAAATCCTTCTGTTACTATTACTGGATCTAACATAATAATAATTTAACCATTCAATTGTTCATACTTGATTACACTAAAAATATTAGAAAAAATCAAATGCATAGTAATAATCAGCAGACTTAAGATCAGTTATAATACGTAGTTATAATACAAAAGACAAAGGAAAAAATTCTTTACATCTTTTCATTTTTTTCTTTTAATCAATTAAGAAGTTTCCAAATGAATGGAATTTTACAAAAACAACAAATTGAATGTTACAAAAACAACAATTTAAATTTTACAAAAACAATAAAATACTTTTTCTAGATTAGAAATTGAATTTTTATTTAAAAATTAATTTTGCATTTTATTTCCTATTTTCTACAAGAAACTAAAATACTACTTACTCGGGTCTAATCCTGGAGCTCAAATTTTCAACTGCAGATACCATGTCCGTATAACCACAGGCAGAAGCAAAATCTTTTGAAATAAAAGTGACATCACCTAGTCCAAGAATTTCCATGAGTTCAAGGCGAGGTTTCTCAATTTCAACAGAAACTTTTATTTTATCTTCTACTTCACTTTTATCATTCCACAATCTAATATACTGGATCATAGATTTCATGTCATCTGTACAAGGCCTGCACTGAAAAGTATTTGTATTAAGAAACCTATAATATATAAGAATATCAGTAACATTAAAAAGAATTGTAAAACATTTAAGAAATTAGAAAACTAAGTTCTCATTTTCTTGTATGGATTTTTCTGAAGAAGACTAATTTCTTTGCATATCTCTTTCTTTGGGGACATAATTTTTAAGATTCTTATTTTGTCATAGCACAATCAAGCATAAATGAAAAAAATAGTCATTTTATGAAGTCAACAAAAGATTTTTAAAAGTCAAGAAAATGCACATTTTATTAATTTAGAATTTTAATTCTATTTGCAATTAATTTTAGAGTTTCAAGAGTTCTTAAGAGTACTTTATGATGGCAAATAATAGAAATATTAAACAGCTTTATACAAGAATTTATAGACTGAAAAGTCATATTACTATATCAGATTAGTTTTACCACATTTGCTACCAAAGCAAACATGGACTGTCCGTTCACATTCACCAAGATCCTCTCTGCAGTTTTATGTTTTTAATTTTCTGTTGTTTTATTATTTAAATACAGATATAACAGATTACTCTTAGCAATAAATATGAACATACTTGTATTTATTACTACAAGCTCATAGTTGTCATATGAAATAATACTTTTCCTCCCTGTGCCAACTACAAGGTAACTCGGAACTAGATAAACAATAAGCACTCATTCTGTTCATTCACGCAAAACTCCTGCAAGAGCACTATTAATCTTACATGAGTCACTAAACAAGAATTTTATCAGACAAGAAACACATCAAAGTGAAATTTAAAATTAGTAAAGAAATAGCCTCATATTTGCCGTAGATTCAGACAAAAAGAATTTTATCAGTCGACAGAATCAAAATTTCATCAGTCCGTTTATAACATCTCCCAGTTAAATAAACCAATTGCATTTTAAACATTTAGTTTATAGGAATTATGTTTTGTGAAAAAAATTATCCACTTCAGTATAGCAAGTATATTATTTAGACCCTTCCTGAATGTCAAATGCCTAACAGTTATTTACTATGGCAATACTTATGTCCAGCAATTAAGGTAAGGTGATCAATAATGAGTTATCTCCCAGCTATCAGTTTCCCAACTACAAGTAGATTTGTTAATGGCAGTAAACATATTAAATTGAAAATTCATTAAAAAGATAAATTACATAAAACTTTATTCAGATTTAATTTAAGTTAATGTCTAAAACTACAAAGTATATTTACTGAAATTAATTTTAATGCACTGAAAAACCCTTTTTAAAATATAAAAAGAAAGTTTAAAAAAAAATAATCTGCAAGCATACTAACATTAAAAAAAAGTTTCATTCAAAGAAAAATAAATTTAGCAATCAGAATAGTTTAACTCTTTTAAAATCAAATGAAATTCAAACACATATCTAATACTAAATACTGGGAAGTTAAATTCACATTAAAAAATAATATATTTTATACAACTTTCAATCACTTTCCAATTTAATTGGAGACATTAGATTCTGATACTTAGATTCCAAATTTAACCTCCATTTGTATTAACAACCAACAGATTAAACATTTATCTACGCAGACTTGGCCCATATTTAACGGAAGCAGATAAGAGTAATCCAAGGGATATTAAAATTACTCATCTGTTGTATAACTTTTATTAACCTCATTAAAAAATAGCTCAAAAGATAAACAATAACATATCTGACATCTGTATCAGAATGGCAAATCGCCAAACTGATGACCATTCCACTACCTCATCAACAAGAACACTGTGCAGAATGCATCAAACAGGATAGACTAACACTGTGCCCACAAGGAACTAAATAAACAACAAAAGCAACTTAACCTAACATGACAATTAATCCCATGCTCGTGCATATTGATATGTAGTAAAGCTAATATATTGATATGTAGTAAAGTAAAATCACACCTATGGATGCGAAACACAGTACCAAATTTTTCCTAGAAATGCACTCTTTCTAGTTCAAATGGCAAGTTCCTAATCATCACATTTTACGATGACTAAGGAAAGGTTTTATTTGACACTTTGCTTTATGTAGGTCAATCAATCATATTAAAGAATCACATGACCTAACCATATAAAATACCTACAAGCAAAGGATTCTTTAAAAAGTTTCATTTGACAAGGTGCTAACAGAAATTGCTGTTCAGTATGACAGCAAGTTCAGTCTCTACTGATAAAATTAAAAATTACAGAAAGAAATAAAAATGACTATCATGCTCCCCCCCCCAATTTCTTTAAAAAAATGTACTTATTCTAGCTGACAGTATTTCAATACTATTCCGAGTGTAACAATGCATATTACACACACCCAAAAAAAAAAGCATAAAACAATTAATTTTTCTGTTAATGATAAACATGCAAAATACACTCTAAAAATAACTAGAAGGAATAACTGTTAGGAATTATCAGGAATAATCTTAATCTGAGGAAAAGATGACGTCTTGCAAGTATAATTGAGCTTAAAATTATGAAATCAATATTAAAAAAATATATTTTGATTACCTCAAAATGCATCCATTGATAGTTTTTTAGATCTAAAACTTTAAAACTATCAAATGCAACTTCTGGCATATTCCTGAAGGGAGGAAAAAAAAGAAGTCAGCTTGATTACACACAGACTGCCAGTTAGAAAGTTTTAATGAATTCACATCTTAAAAATACTCACTTGTTTGAGTGAACAATTGTTCTTGATCCATTTTGTGAGTTTATCCACACCACTGATACAGGGCTCTCATACTGTTCATAAAATGAGCAGTTATCAGTACATATGTTATAAATCTCAAAATCTTTCTTCATAAATCTAAAAAAAATTATAATAATCTTAAAACCTGCAAAGAAATAGTTTTTAACTTTGAAAACTCATTTGAAATCTACAGCTTTTTTATCAGAGTTGTATGAAATCAATATAATGCATCCTATGTATTTTAAATCTAATAAAATATTATTAAAATAAAAAATATTAATATTTTACAAGTGAATTAATATTTTAGAAGCAAGATCACTAATATACATATATGATATAAATAAACTAATATTTTAGAGGCAAGACCAAAGAACACTAATATTTTTTTAAGGTACTTTTCACAGTCAACAAGGTGCAGAGTTGCAAATGTTTCAAATTAAGTTCATGAAAATTTTATTTAGCATTTTCCTCAGTTAATAATATTGGACACAAAATGTTGAATCTTCCAGATGAATTTATCTTTCATGATCAATCAGCACTCTTCTCTTATTTGATAGATAAATCGAAATCAAGTAATATACTGCCTTTTGATTTAGTATTCTGAGTACATACTTTGTTAATAAATTCAAATGAATTATGCTACACCATAAAAAATTTTCCATATACTAGGGATATACCACCTGTTATACTCCTAAATAACACATTTAAAATTACATTTCCCTTGCTGCTGAAAGACTGCACTTTAAAATCTTACAAGATATTACAAAAACTAGATACAGACAGAGAAATGTTAAATCTTGCAGATAATTTTTTATCTCAGTATATATGAAACTTCTCTATATGCTCATCTACATTCATAAAATCTATCACATATAGTAACATGATCAAAAAGAATTTGGAATGAATCCATAAAACAAATGAGTTTCATTTATAAATCAGTATTTATTACACCTCCTTTAAAAGAATACCCTTCAGTTGCAAGGCATTTATGAAATATATTTTTTGATTTTTGAAACATGTTTTCACATAATTTTTATAAAAACACTCAAGACCAACAGTGAATTTTCTTTATTGCATCTATAGATCTAAATTGTTGACCATAAAACAGTAATTTCATGCATAAACTAAGAAAAAGTCATGGAATATTGTATCAGATGAATACAGAGTTTGTGGATCTGTATTTATTGAAGTTCTGACCAAAAATTTAAACATAACAAGAACATCAGCAACAAGAGCATTATCATGATACAAAATTCATGAGTTATCACACTAATACTGAAGTCATTTTATAGAAATTGCTACATACAAATGCTGTAAAACACTCAAATAATATTTTTTATTAAAAATTCGGGCAGCTTGTGGAAATTCATGATGTACAACAGGGGACGGCAACACAGCACCCACCACCCTGTCCCAATGTGCCTGCATATTCTGCTTCTTTAGCAGTTTTGGGTTTATGTTTATTTAATACATATTAAAATTATACATTTTTACATCTATGCAGGAAACAGCCACTTAATTGCATCACCACTGCTCAAAATGTTTCCTTGTCGAGCCAAGACAATCAAAACTGACCGACCCAACAGAGCAGCACGGTGCGGCTTGGCTGATGCATTTAACTTCTCTAATGCTATCCCCAGTACATGCAGCCAGAAAGACTTAGTGGAGCAAAACAAGACATCTGTCCACTTTGTCTGTCTGTGACAATTTTGATTAATTCATAAACAACTTCAAATTTCTGACTTTTAGGCAGGCAGTGAAATCACGTACAAGGTATGTAGTGTGTATGTACTCTTATCATTCCTTTCTTGTTAGATTCATTTACTTACTCTTTAATCATCCTGGATGTTTCTTATACAGATTTGCTTCTAAATTGATGAATATAATAACCCCAAAGCTAAGCGAGCATGCACTTATAATTTTAATGAAGAATGACAGCACTAGTTTTGCTTTATAAATCTTAAAAGACAAATATATATACTTATTATGAAGCAAAAGTGTAGCAATTCCAAAAAAAAGTAACCTTGAGAGACATTTTAAAACAGTGCAGGCTAAGTTTGACTCAGAGTATCCTGAACTTCAAAGAAATAAAATTTTATTATTAAAGTCATTGATTTCGAAGCAACAACCTACTTTTAGCAAACCACTGGAAACAACGAAGGCAGCAACACTCACATCGATTAAAGTTTCCCACATACTTGCTAAGAAAAAAAGGGCTATATATAGGTGAAGCAATAATAAAACAAGCAATGTTGGAATCTGCAGACATATGTTTTGAAGATTTTAAAAATCAAAAAGAAATAGTTTCAGCCATAAATGCCACCTAGAACTGTTATAAGGAGAATTCAAGCAATCACAGGTCACTTAGAAACCAATCTGATAAAAGATATGAAAGAATTTGCACTTTTTTCCATACAAATGGATGAATCGAAAAACATAACAATAGCTCAACTGACAATAAGTGTCAAGATGGCTTTTGACAATTTTACCATAAAAGAAGAGTTTCTAAAAATCCTACCACTTAAAGTGCACACACGAGGAAAGGATTTATTTTGTGCACTAAAAACATTTTTGACTGACGCTAAAATACCAATTGAGAAATTGCCTTCAGTAACAACTGACAGTGCACAAGCTATGCTAGGGAAGAATATTGGATTAATTTCTTTATACCGACAAGATCCTTTTTTTCCCAAAAAATTTATAATATTATAGAATATTATAGAATTATTTTATAGCAAAACGTGCGTGCAAAAACCATTGAATTCTATAACGTAATCACTATTATTACAAAAATAATCAATTCAATAATGAAGACAAGTGGAGACAACGTAGGCTATTTAAACTACTTTTGTAAAATGACGAAGATACTAAGCTTACTGATCTTTTGCATACTGAGGTTTGTTGGCTGAGCAACAGAAACAAGCTTCAGGAATTTATCAATTTGTTGCCAAAAACAAAAGAGTTTCTAACATCCCAAGGATAAAACTACTAACAGTAAGATGAAAACTGATTAGTAAATACAGCTTTTTTTTACCAATTTAACATTCAAACTTAATGAGCTAAATTTGAAATTACAGGGCAAGAATAATCATGTTCCTGATATGATCAGCGCTATCAACAGCTTCAATTCAATATTAGAATTGTACAGGTCTAATCCCTTAAGCAAATCATTAATGCATTTCCCCAATAGTACAAAAAAACAAAACAAAACAAAAAAAGGCAGGAAGTCTAAAGAGCATAATATTAATACAAACTCATCTCTTCAAATTGCATCTGCATTGCAAACTAAATTGGATTCTAGATTTCTTGACTTGGTGAATTTAGAGCCTATTTTAAATTCTTTTAAATACCTTTATTATTACTGATGGAGAAAACACAGCTACATTCAAAAATTTTCATCTTAACAATATGGAAAACATAGAAATAGTAAGCTTGCAAAATGTTATTTTAAAATTTTATGAAATTAATAAGCTATTTTGGAGCTTGGTAAATAGAAATCAGTATCCAATTTTAAAGTCATATGCAGTAAAGATTAATTCTTATTGCTCAAGTACTTATAACTGTGAGACCTTTCCGAATATAACTTATTTTGAAGTCAAGTTATTGTTTAACATTTACCAATTCATATTTAGATATTTGTTTAAGAGCATGCAACTTAAATTATATTGTCAATTATAATAAGTTGGCAAACAAATTACAAACACCAGTTTCACACTAACATATAAAAAAATGTTTATTTAAAGAGCATAAATTATAAATATTTGTTATTTAGTTGAATAAAGATATATCTTTTAAACAAAACTAGTCTGTAATATGACATTTGGTAAAGCATCAGCAAAGCAGTCTCAGAAACACGTGGTCGTTATCAGCACAGCACATGGTCGTATCCGGATTTTGAATCAGAGTTCCACTGGTTGCCTACTTTTACTGAGCCAGGCTATCTGATTAAACATATAACACGTAGACTAAAACGGAAAAAAAAAAATCAGCAAAGTCAAAAAATAGGGAGGAGGGGCAACTGCACCTTCATGTACCAAGTCTGAACCTCGAATGAGATCACTTTAAATTTTAGAACTTATGCAAGAATGTAAATATAATTGACATTTCTATGCAATCACAGGAACTACAAAATGAATATATTTTCAATTTTTTTTTTTTTTTTGGACTTTCTTTTCTTAAAATTCAAAGAGACCTTTTAACACATATGTATCTAAGAACCTATTTTATTTGTGAAAAATGTTTGCTTACATTTTTTCTTCTTAAAATTCAGAAAACAAACACAGCATTTGTCTCTGACACTTGTATTTATAACTGACGAATTAAACAAGTTCATGAAAGCACAAATGGTACAAGTCTGCACCGTCCTTGTGAAGCTCTAGATGTCTGGACATGCACAGCTAATGGTATCAAATGTAAAGTTTTTTACAAGCTACAAGTATTGTGACTATAATGCAAATAGGTGCCTACTCACACAGTTTATGAAATTTACTCATATAATAGACATATAATTTAACTGATGTATGATTAGTTAAATTATATGTCTATTATATAAGTATTATGTAAGTATACAAGTAAAATTTGTATTAGGTACATTATGGCATTTACACAATGACTAAATTTTAGTGGTAACCTGTTTAACTCTTTCGCATCGAAGTCGCCCAAAGCGCCCGAGCATTCAGACATCGGCTGGACGCCCAAAACGCCTGAATAATTTCCTACCCAGTGCTTTCCCCCCATCACGTTACTGCATTACTCATTGCTTTCAGGTGTTGTTAAACCAGACGTCAATCATCCTTGTTTCCTTTGTTTACTGTCAGTGTTTAGCTTTTGATGCCCGAAGTTGCAATCCCGTCCCAAGGGGGAACTTCACGCAGTGTCAAAGCGTCGAAGAAAGAAGTTCTCGCTGTACTTAAGTAAGGCTATTGTTAGCGCTGTACTATTCAACTTGTCATGGGGGAAGGAAAAGCATTCCAGGAGAAATTCTTAGATACGGGCGTTTTCGATGTTTGGGGAATTGAGATTTTGCCCTCTCTCGATGCGAAAGAGTTAAACAGGATCCAGTCTTGTAGACCTACTATTTACATCTTATGCAGACCTATTTTTTTCTTCCATTGATA